CACGGAAAGGAGTGTGAAGAACCGATGATTTTTATTCACTGTAGGTAGGCTAGCTTAAGTAGACTAGTTACCAGTGGTCAAAATGTGGTTTGAGAAAAATGAATAAGAAAAAAGTATTTTGAATAAAAATTGAGAGAAGATAAAACAAGTTCTTGGAAGTAACAAACTATGCAAAACATCTCATTCTCTTTTAGTAATGTCAGATGAGTTAATCAAGAAAAAATGTTTTAAATCACAGATAACAAGAGGCGTTAATTCTTATTAATCAATCTTTGATAAATCAATAATAAAGTCAGAAAAAAGAAGAATCCATCTTAGAGACATGAGTAGTTAAAAAGGCTGATTTACTTAAGGTTCAAATTTGACTCAGAAGGGGGCTCAGAATAACCAAAAACAAGCTACTTGAAGAATATAATCTAGTCTGATTTAAGATGACTAGAAATGGATGAAGGGCAGAGAGAGACAGAACTGAGGAAAATTCAACACAACTTCACAGTTTTTGTCTTTTTTCAATATTTCAATTTGAATCATTAACCATTTCAAACATACATCAAATGCAGATAGTGAACCAACTCCTTGTAAACAAACCTGAGAACAGTATAATGGTAAATACTTCAGGTGATTGTGAATTCTTGGCAAAGCAGTGGGAAAATAGTATAGTGCTCAAAACCATTCTCAAGATAAAATGTACACATTATTGACACTTGTTAATCAACATTATCTTACTGACTTTCATCCAATACATGAAGGAGTTCTTGCTACTAACCCAGAGAGTGGAGGTGGATGGACCCTCTTGCACAATGGTGCTTTATGAAGACAGTTGGCTTCTCAAGGCATTAGGACAACTCCAACAACAAAGTAAATACAGCATCTTGGAGGCCAAGTATGAATATGATCCAATGATCAAAATGGCCACCAAGTAAAAGGAGCTAGCTCATGGCAACAGTGTTACATCCAGCTTGGCAATTACTTTTTTTACTAACATGTTTCCTTCTCATCATAGTACAGCTCAACGGTTTCTTATAAATAAAGGGCCTTGGTTAATTGACTCCCAAAAGTTGGAGAGTAAACTCCCAAACCCCCCAAACCCCCAAAATTCCCCCGGATTCTCTGAGTCCAAACCCGCCAGCGGGTTTGGGAGTCAGGACTCAGATCCCCAAAAATTTTAAATAAAAAAAGAGCCCCCAACAGCCAGGAGGATTCCTCCTGGCCCACCCTCAACAACCAAGAGAAATACTCAAACACAACCCTGTATGTCCACTTACATGCAGGGTTTACTCTTGATTTTATTTGCTATCTTTTTTATCTCTTGATTCTAGCTCATGTGAAGAGTAAGACCATCCAAACCCTGATGAAAATCTTGGCCTGGCCAGCCCATCATGTGTTGCTCCCCCTGCCTCAGCCCCCCAGTGCATTGGCCAGCCAGGTTCCATCATTGATGCTTGCGAGATTTTGAAATCTGGACATGCACTGTATTCTTCCAAATCTTCCAACTGCAGTTGCCTTTTTTTTAGAAATTCCACCAATTGAGACTGCCATCAATATCTACGGGTCTCCCAGAGTTGATCTAGAGCCTCAAAAATCAAATTTCTCTGCAAGAATCAAGAGTTTTTGGGTCTGGATCAACTTCTGCAAGAGTCTCAGATCCAACTGGAGGACTTTCCATCATTATCTGTAGAACCTACAGAATCAGATTTGAACCCACTGAAGTTAGATTTTGCAGGGAAATCTGATTCAAGGGCCTGCACATCTGGTTTTGTAGGGGGTACAGAACCAACAGGAAGTCCTCCACTCTTTGCTGGTGAAAAGCTCAGGTTTTCACCAGCCAATAGACTAGAGTTTAGGACTCCCTTCTTAATCAAGTGATTTAGGCAACACAAAGTGTTCCAGTGGAGGACTTCCCGTCAACATCTGCAGGTCTCCCAGAGTCGGTTTAGAGCTTTGAAATTCAAATTTCTCTGTGAGAATCAAGAGTTTTTGGGTCTAGATTGACTTCTGCAAGGGTCCCAGATCCGACAGGAAGTCCTCCAGTCAAACTATTGTCAATGAGATCCAAAGAATGATTGTGAGAAATTGGAGGACTTCCCGTTGACCAGATGGCTAATTCTAGACGGACCGGCTAAACTTTGTTTGCTGGGAAAATCTTGAGGTCGAACAATTTTCACCAGCCAATAAGCTTTAGCCCTTTTTTCTAAATTTACAATTTTAGACGACAGGAAGTCTTCCACTGAATGATTATGAGAAACATTGGAGGACTTCCCGTCAACATCTGCGGGTCTCCCAGAGACGGTTTAGAGGCTCAAAATTCAAATTTCTCTGCGAGAATCAAGAATTTTTGGGTCTAGACCGACTTCTGTGAGGGCCCCAGATCCGACGGGAAGTCCTCCATTTTTGCGAAAAAAAAAACAGGAAATGTCTATGGCCTGTCGGCCACTTCTGCCTGCCCACGATCGAGGCCCACAGGTTACATTCGAGATAGTCCCATTAGTTGCATCTCAGACCATGAAACCAGTGCTAGCAGTTTAGAATTTGATGTAAAAAAACTTGGTTGTATGAGGATTCAGGGTCCGGCACATTATTCAACAAGGGACCAGGGTTGCATGACCTGCCCCTGAGGCCAATGGCTTGAGGTTTATTAGGAACTCAGTTGGAAGCACCGCGATCGGCTGAAATTGCGTTCATTGAGGATGTCACTAAGGTGTCATCAATAAACAAGAAGAACGGTCTGAATCATAGCTTTGGCAGCTGACAAGAGCTGAGAAATTTGGTTTGGAGGGGCATGTGTCATTGCATAGGTGAGGGGAACAGGTCAGGAAGTCGAGAACTAGGCGTCTCGCAACTCAGCCAGACGTCGGACGGTACTATAAAAAAGCAACGGGAAAAAAGATACGTGTCAGACAGCTTAACCGAGAACAAGTGCTCCTAACAGTATAGTACGGACCTCCTGACGGTGGCAGCAGCGGTTGTTGAGACGGTCCAGGCACCACCAGCGATAACCTTGCGGCAGGACCGGCAGTCCCAGATACCGACGGCAGATCGTTTGACGGTGTCCTGAGATGACGAAGAGGCGTGAGAACAATGTGATCGCATACAACGTTGATGAAAGTTCAGCTGACCTTGCCGCAGAAAGTGCAAGTGTAACGGGCGTGTTGGGTCACTTCCATCTTCTTGATTTGTTTACGGAGAGAGGCACCATATCTCTGCAAGACAATGTTATGTATCAGCCGGTTGTTGGCAGGTCGTAGTCATGAAGTCTGGAATCAGCGAGATCTTGAACCAACCGTTCCGTATTTACCGGTAACTCCGACCTTTTTTGTTCGTTTAGTCTGTTGGAAGAAAAATCATCATTCGTGAGCCGTGGCCTGAGGATGAGTAGGGATGCGACTGACCATGTTGAAGTCTTGTTGGTGTTGATGGTGATGGGCCGGCGAAAAGGGGTGGACCGGTACACTTGAACGACGAGGACAGGCAGTCGGCCGCGGTGGTTGCCCAGTTAGGGTACCGGCCCGACAGTCTCGGTATATCCGCAGTCTCACCACAGGGCTGTGCTGCGCACAAAAGGGGGCCTCTTGCGCGTCACTCTGCTGTGACCGCTGGGCTGGTATTCCCACACAGCGTGTCCTCAACAAGGAAGACTCAAGCCAGCCGACATCTTACAACCTCCACTATGAGCTCCGAGACGCCGAAGAAACCTATGTCGAAACTCCAGCGACGCATCCAGGCCGGACTGGCAGGTGCTAGTTCCTCATCTGCCTCGATTCAAGCAAAACCAAGCACAACCGAAGCTGGACCGATGGAAATCGTCGAAACCAATTATCTCCCTGGGGTCGATTCATCAGCATCATCATCATCTTTGACTCGAGATTTCTCATTCTTACCGACCCCCTCGAGTCTCTATGCACCGCCCTCCAACTTGGCCAACGCGCTGCCCCGTCCAGATCGTCGAGCGAACAAGAATCATTTTTTCTCTTTGCCTAAGGAGCTCTTTCTACAACCTTGTGAACCCACCGCTTTTCAAGGCCCTAGTCCAGATGACGAAGTTTTGATTGCTCGTCAGGGAACCTCGCTCGGTGGCGCCATTCGAAGATCGTAATTTGAGACTCGGAAATGCATCCACCACGTTCCAGTGTGGGCTTCATGACGATGTATCCTCATCAAAACTTCAACTTGTGTGTGATCCTAAGTTCCGCGAATTACTGAGCAGCCTAACTTGACCCTAACGACTACACCCGTCAACAGATACCTTTACTGAACTAAGCGAATAATACGCTAAGTCTACCTGCTCTCACACGGCGACCAACGTCCGGATTGGTCGGCTAGGGAAGTTGCATGCCCCGAACGAATCCAGATATTCAACTCCTCGTACCTCAACTGACTACCTACATCGATGGCTGGTCCTCTGACTCCTTCAATCGGTACACCAAGACCATACAAGCCTTCATCAACATGCTTTCGGATCAGAACAACGCCACACCCCGACCTCCAAGACCACATGGACTGATCACATCAGTAAAACGAAAACTACGGTTTACTTGTCATCACAATCAACCGATCCACCATCGTGTCAAATTGTCAATTACTTTCTCTCCCCTTTTGGCTTTTGTTTTTATCACCGGTCGTCTGCCAGCTTCCCATCTTCCACTTTGTAGTTCCCTTCCGTGGGCCCTCTTCGTCTTCAAAGAGCACAGGAGCAGGTTCTTCATTCTCTCCGTTGCAAAGATTCTACTGAAGTTGTTCCAGAACTATTATTCCGCTGTAATATGATAGACCCATTAGCTGGAAATCATTCACTATTGCCAAGAGCGCGATTGATGCTGGGTGATATGAATGAATCGCGTTACATCCTTTTTGGACAGTCTTCTGCACACCTGTGTTTGATTTCTAGTGTAAGATGGTACAACCCTTGCACTTTTGGCCCACCGTAAAGTTGGATTTTTAATGGCTTGGAGGTAGAAACCTTAAACAATTGAAGGGTCGTCTTATGCGGATGTGCTTAAAAAGGAGCTCTTGGATGTGGGAATCCTCATTTGGAACCCTCCGCAGACCGTCTTGCGTGCGGTCAATCCAAACCATATATTTCTCCACAAGACAAAAGCTTCACAGATGAACAATACCTTCCGGACTTTGGCTGTTGCTATCCATAGGGTAAGTTCCAAGCTTCCAACAATTGATTCATCCTGTCAGCCGATTTCGTTCACATAGCAGAGTACATAGGATAAATTCTCGAGCATAGATTGCCCAGCCAGAAGGGAACCGCTGGGCAGCATGGAAGCGAAGCACCATAGCATTGCCCGAGTCTAACCAAGCCTCTCGTAGAGAACCCAGCTGACAACCTGGCAGTGGCAGGGTCTCTGTCTCCCTCCCTGACGGAAGGTTGCGCTTGTGGCCCTGCCTTCTAGCAGGCGAGGGACTTGTTGTTAAGTTTGAGCAGTCCTTTATCGGGTTTTTGAAAAGAAGTGGCCATGGCATTTGCGTTGGCCCGGGTCCACCGTAAACTATGCTACATGCCATTAGCACGTTTGACAAGCTCTATCTAATCCATTCGTATAAGAACCGGGGGACTGCTTGCCCCTTTCATTCTCCTCACCCAACAAGCCTTCCAAGCAATCAAGCGACCCTGTAGATATACCAACACCCTAACGACTTTTTCCTCAGCAAAACCCATCAACACCTTGTTCATAGAACCGTTTCTCCATACCCGCCAACACATCAAACCGTTACATCCCATCCTCCCAAGACCTTACCATGCAATCAGTCATCGCCATCCTCGCGAGCTCGATCTTGATGCTGTTGATCAGTGGACCAATGCATGCAGCCGCCAAGAATATGATTTGTCCCAATCGCGACAACAGCAATGGTTACTGCGTCCAGATGGATACAGGAGATGAGTTGAGGATCTTCTTCAAGATACTTCCTCTTTTTGTCTTATCTATCTGCATCCGCATCGCCAGGGCTGATGTCGATACTCGATACAATCCTCCCAGCCCCTATCATCCCCAAAATCCGAAATATTCCAGGCGGAATGTTCCCGACATTTTCCTGCGCCTCGGACTATCTCGCGCTATGTTGTGTGAGTTGACCTATTCATTCTATTATCTTCTACATAAATTCAAACAACTTGTACTAATGATCTTCAATTTGATGGCTTTTATCTATCTAGCCAAGCATACCTGTCAAAGACCTCAAGCAGTGCAAGTTCGCCACAAGCTGGGAATAACACTTCATTTCTATGATCGTGTTTATTTTCCATCCTAACCTGAACTGCCATGTCTAAACCTGATAGTGACCACTCTCCTGTTCCTCTGTCACCAATTGCTTCTCTACTTTGAATTTCACTCATGTTGTACATATATATAAAAAGTCCTTAAATCACCTAGTGCCAGTTGTATATCCCCTTTTCCTACACTGAGGAATCTCAGAAGTGTCTACCTTTTCACCCACAATATGGGTGTTCAAAATTGATTCTAAACCCACATTTACCTAAAATCATGAGATTTTTGAAGGTTTTGGGAAAAGCCTCAAATTGAGAGAGATCTGAATTTGCATTGAGTTGATATTTGGGAAAACTTTGTTTAGAAAGTGGTGTAAAGATCAATTTTGAGCCTGATCCATTAACACAGCTTCATTTTGATTGTTGCATTTGCACAAACTTATTTGTGCAAATGCAACAATCAAAATGAAGCTGTGTCTGTGAAACATACAAGTCATCCCAACTTATCCAAGTCCCTTCCTCTTGTTGATGCTGTTTTGAACAACTTGTTTTATTCTGCCAACCAGAGGGAGGGAATTTTGTCTAAAGTTGATCCGCCAGCCTGAGAGCATTAGGGTTTCTGGCTGGGATTTTTTATTAATTACTGTTGTTCCAACCTAGAGAATGTTTGTTGGTACCTGGCACTGCTTGGCTGGTACCACCTGCACCCGCCAGCCGGTGCCAGGTGCCTCTTTTTGGGCAAAAAAAACCTGTGGTACCCGGGTACCACCTAGAGATGTCAGCAGGTACCCAGTACCCATTTGCGGGTACCCAGAAACGGGTGCGGGTGTCAACATTTGGGGTAAAAAAAGGCAGGTAGCTGGGTACCCGCCTTACACCCGCCCTGGGAATGCTTCCCCTGAAGAATTTAAATTATCATTGGCAGTCCAACACTCCCTTTTTTGGGTGTGTTGGGCTGCACAAAGGTGTCAGCAAACCATGTAGAACACTGGATGGTGTCCTACATGGGTTACTGAACTAATCTGGTTGCTTTGTTGAGGCCGGAGGGAGCCCTCCGGCCTTTGAGACGGTGTACAGTCTTGACGACTGGAAAAATCCCTCCAGTCATTGAGACATATTTCTGGGTATATTTGCCTGCAAAAAATCCTCCACACCCACAGGTACCTGGGTACCCACCCTGGAAGACCTGGCGGGTGTGGGTGTCCAAAATATTGGATTTTTGAGGCAGGTACCCACACCTGCTACAGGTATCCAGGTATGAAGCAACATCTCTGGTACCACCTAGAGATGTCACTTCATACCTGGGTACATACCCAGAGCGGGTGTGGGTACCCACCTCAAAAATCCAATATTGTGGACACCCACACCCGTCATGGCAGGTACCCGGGTACCTGAGGGTGTTGACAATATTTTTCTGGAAAACAAGCCCAGAAATCCCACCCTTGTATTGCTGCATGACTAATTATATGTCTGAAATTGACTAGATATATAAGCAACATAGAAATAAATGAAAAATAAACTGTTCTATTGCACCTCATCTTCTCTGACCTCCTCTGCCTCCTCCTCCTCTTCTTTACTCTCATACCTTTTCTTTGCTGTCTTGCACGTTTCCTTCATTCCTTGTTTTTTTTTCACTGAATCTTCTGAATTATCATCATCACCATCACAAAACAAACAACCCACCAAAAAAACTGGGACTTGGTCAACCGACTCCCAGGAATTGGAGAGTCAACTCCCAAACCCAGGTTTCCCTGAAATTTGGGAGTTGATTCCCCAAACCCGTCAGTGGTTTTGGGAGTTGGCCCCCAAATAATTTTTTTAAAAAAATAGAAAACCCCCAAGGGGTTAGGTGTTGATGCCCCAAAACCAAGTGGTTTTGGGGGGTTGGTGATAAAAAAAAAAGGGGCCAGGAGGGATTCCTCCCGGCCGGAGAGTGCTCTCTTGACAGCTGAGAGAATTTCTCTTGGGTGTTACATAGGGGTATAACCCTCAACGGCTGAAAGAAACCTCTCGGCCATCAAAGGTGTACAGTGCCTAGACAGTGAAAAGTGGCTGCTTATTTTGGATTCCAGAGCTCCAAACCACAAATTTGAAATCATGAGACTTGGTCAGGTGATGCGTAATAGGTTCCAAAAAATGAATATGAAATAATAAAAGCAAAAAAAAAGGTTCAAAATTTGTGAAAAATGCAAAATAAAATTGATTGTTTTCAAAAGCTTTGATATTCATTTTGGGGGAGTGGGAGTGCTGAGAGAAAGAAAGATTGG